CGGATGGCGCCGGTACCGCACGGACCCCCCGGGGTCCCGTGCCCGTGTGCCCACGGGTGTCCTGTGCCCCGCGGGTGTCCCTGTCCCCGTGCACCCCCGGGGTCCCGTGGCCGTGTGCCCACGGGTGTCCTGTGCCGACCAGCGTTCAAACAAACCATGCTTGCTCTGAGATTTAACATTTGAATTAAAACCAAAATAAACCCCACAGCGAGCCAGAGCCCAGCTTAGCCTGGTGGCACATGGCCTCCCTCCTCCTCTCCATTGCGGGGCAGGCAAGCTGGCCTTAGGAAATTAAGTAAATACCAATGGAGGAGTTGAAAAATAGGTTACCTTGTAATTGAATTTTTTTGCCTGCAGCTAAAGAAAAATTAGCCTTCCTGCCATCTTGTGCTGCCTGTGTGTTTGAGAACTTACCGGGGTGTGTAATAGCTGAAAGGGTGGCGTGACAGCTCCTTGGCCCAGCCTTTTCAACTGCCTTACTTCTGAGCTCTTGCTTTTTTTTTTTTTCCTTTTTCCCTTGCCTTTAAACTCCAAGTGCTGCCAGGGAAATTTAGAGCTTTGACAGCTCGGAGGAGCCAAGAACAGGACTCCTGGCAGAGCGATGTGGCCCCGATCCTGTGCCAGGAGCTGGGGGAGAGCCCCTCTCTGAGGGAGACCCCCGGCTCGCCGGGTGCTGTCACCCCATCCCATCACCCAGTCCCATCGCCCCATCCTGCAGCAGGTGCTGCTGCAGCTGCTGTCCAGTAGCAGAGGCCATCAGGGTGGGAGGGTGGTTCAGGGCAGAGGACTCTGAGTGCCTGTCCCCGAGTGGCAGGGGGGGTCATCCTCCCCTGCTCAGGGGGACGTGGGACCCCTGTCCCGGGTGGGCAGTGTGGCCGCAGTGTGGCTGTCCTCCCTGACCTCCCAGCTCCTGATGCAGCAAGATGACACAAGGGTTTGATTTATTAAGCTGGTGCATTAGTATAATTTTTTCCCCTTTTCCATAAAGAGCCCTTTGCTTAGCGGTCCCTACTGTGCTGCGCTCCCTTCATTCCCATCAGCATTCAGGTTTTGGGGGGCATTTCCTGGGGAGAAGAGACCTGCAGCCCAACCTCAAGTACCACACCATCATCCTGCAAAGAGGGAGACGTGCTTGGCCCCCCCAGAGGCAGGGATGCCTCGAGCACCAGCCTCCTACCCCTGCTACCTCTGAAGGCGTGGGATCGCTTGCACAAACCCTCTGGGGGCTGTGCCTCCAGGTGCCGTGGGTGCTGAGCATGGGTGGCTGCATGGCTGGGGGCTTGTGGGTGGTGGGTGCATCCCATGGTGGGGAGCAGGGTCCCTGCTAGGGGTACATGGAGCAGCCTGGGGCACCCTGAAAGCATCTCCAAGCCCCCGGCATCGTGGTCCCCCCGGCAGCAAGTCCCAACTGCTTGGCTCGATCTCCACCAGCCCTGTCCCTGGTGCGGGTCTCACTTCTGGCCTCAGGGGGCTGCTGGGTTCAGCTGCGGCTGTGCAGGTACCCTTAATAGCCAAGAAAAACTATGTTTCAGCAAAGATCTGACTTACGCTGCAGACCCTTTCTTCCGCTGCCGAGCCCGTGAGCAATTTATCCTTCCGACTACTCCAAGAAGCAATGAAACCAATAGGTCACTTTTTTTTTTTCCTCTCAGCAGTAATTAATGGTTTAATTAACACTCACGACATCCAATTCCCACTGCTTTGCACGAGCAGCCTCCACTGCCGGGGCCTCACTGCAAACTCTCTGGTAACTGGGGGTGGAAAGGGTTAGCTGGGGAGCCAGCAGGAGCTGCCGGCTGGAGGCCGCCCATCTGGCCGTGATTTCATCCGAAGCTGGAAACTTCTCCTCCTCCCGAGCAGCAGTGGGGTTTCCAACACGTTTCACAGCCTGCTTTGCTTTTGCATGGGCTTGTTTATGGTGCAGCGGCTTTTACGGTTGAGGGAAGAAACTGGGCGCCATGAGCGCGCGCTACGCACAGCCCTCGTTATTTACTCTTAACAATTTTCCAGTATTTTAACACCAGTCCCCAAGAAATTTTAGCTGTCCCAAGGAGAATAGCTGCTTGTAACCGGTTGCTAATTACAAGTATGAATGTCAATTAATTCATTTAGCTAATTATCCACTCTCTGAGCATCACGCACCAAAGAACTGTAAAAGACGGACATATGGTGATGGATTGGAAGGAAGAAGCTGGCGCCCGCATGCGCTCGCCGGGTGGCCAGGGCCGGGCGCACGCTCGCTGGGTGTGCCGGCGCGCCGGGGTGAGGGGGTGCAGGCAGCGTGAGCGCTGGGGAATACGGCCGCTGCAAGCCGTAATTACAGCATTATGCTAATTGGGCCTGGAAAGCATCAACCTTCTCCTTGCAACTTTTGTTTGGAGGCTTGAGCGCAGGTCAAGCATCTAAAGTGTTTCTAATCGTGCTGCTCCCTCCAACACAGAGTGGGGGAAGAATCATTTTCCCTGCATTGAGCAAAGCTCTTGATCATAATCCCTGGTTGCAGAAACAAACAGTCTTAAGGAGGGAGGAGAGATCCCTGACGAGCTTCCTGGCGAGGGGCCTCCGTGCTAAAGGTGGGGAGATCCGCTGGAGGATGATTGTTGCAACCTGGCTCACAAGACACCTGGGCTGCTGCAAGCGGGTAGAAAACCATCTTGGTGAAAAATAATCTTATTTGCTGTCCCAAAAAAGGAAAATGTTTTAAAGGCAATGTTCTTTTCTGAAATGATCGGAGTTAATCACATCTGTGTGTGCAAAGTTACCTGTAAGGCATGGAAGGGGTTGTGGGGGGAGAGCAGAGTTGACGCCCCTTCCCCACTCTCAGAAAGCCAATGAAGAATTGCAGATTTTATACTAGCAGCTGAGCAGTGAATGCTCAGTGGGGTTAAAGTCCTCGGTCAAAGTGGGGCAACAATCTTCTTCTGGAGGGAATCTCCATCACGGCGCTCGTATCAATCACCTGGTGAGGCGCTGCCTCCTCTGTCCCCCAAAGGCTCCTAACGCTTGGTGGGCAAGCATCACCCCAGGCTGGGCCACCAGCTCCATCCCTGCCCAGCCCAGCCTTCACAGAAGTACCAAGCTGTCCCACCTCCCCTGCACCTGGGTCTGGAATTTTGATGAGCATTTCCCATGTCCAGCCTAAAATTTGGGTCGCTGAGGCCCCAGCGCTGCAGGGGCAGCACCCACCGCATCAGATACTGATGCTTGGTGCCTGCCACGAGCGTTTGCTCTGTTCCAGAGCTTCATTATTCTTATATCTACCCAAAAAGTGAGGCCTTATTTCCTGTTGAATTTGTTTAATTATTTCACCACTGGATTTCCAACGGCAACGCTTGTGCTGCCTGTGCCTGCGAGGAGCTTTGATCATACTCTTGTATGTCTATTACCAAGATTCACTTCTAAAAGTGTGTAAATAACATACAAATAGAACAACATCTCCCCAAAAATCCCAATAGGCTGTATTGTTAATGCGGTGACACGGCAATTTGCATTTTATTTCCTTGTCACAAAAAAAAAGGCTTTTATTATAAGCCCTGTTAGAGGTACTTCAAAGGCAGCAGGGCCAGGGAGCAGCTGTGTGGACTGGAGTGGCTCCGAAGAAGTTTGCGGAGGCTCTCCTGGCCAGCGAGCCCAGCGTCAGCACCTGCAGCTCTGGGGAAAAAACAAATATTTTCAGGCAGGTTTAACTGCGGGGGGGGGAGAGATGAGGCAGGCTGGGGGAGCATCCAGGCACCCCTGTGCCCCTTGCTGGGGTGATGGGGGGAGAAGAAGAGGGGGTGATACGTGGGGCTGGGGAGGGGACCCAGGACCCCACCTCAGAGGCTGCTCGCTGGGGAGAGATGGAAGGAAACTGGCAGCGCCCTGCTCCGCAGAGCTGTTGGCAGCGTGCCGGTGCCTCCTGCGCGCTCCCTGGCTCTGCCAGTGGCCCAGTGCATTCGCTCCCGTGGCGGAACGTTGGCCAATGTGCAAACCTCCGCAGCGCCAGCCATTTTTCAGACAAGAGCGGATTTGCCAAGCGCTACCTTAAGAAAAGTTATGCGTGACTATATTTAAGGAAGCAGGGGGTGTGCGCTGGCCCCGTCCCAGGGCCCTGTGCCAGCCCTGGCCTTGACGCCCGCACCCGGTGCCGGCCGCGCGCGCAGGTGTCCGGACGCTTCTTCTCCGAGCCAGCCGTCGCCTTGCCGCCGCCTGCAAATGCTCAGCTTCTTCTGGCTGAGGTGAGGGCTGGGGGCGATGGGGACAAGGTGGGGGGACCCCGGTGCTGGATGAGCAAGGGCCAGCATCCAGCACCGTTGCGGAGGCTTCCACGCCAGGCAGTGAAGCGGTGGCTTGTCCTCGCTTGTCCTGGTGCTGGCCGGCTCTGCCTGGGGGAGGACGTGGGGTGAAAGCCCCTTGTGCCCTCCCTGCTCGCCTGGGTGATGCCCTCTTGCCTTTGGGATTTGCAGCGAGCCATGCCACAGCTCCATCGTGGCTGGCACCGGCAGCTTGCCGAGGGGGACGTGGCACCCTCTGGCTGCAATGGGGACAGCGGGAGAGAGCCGGTCCCCGCTGGGGCTTTCTGGGTGTGCCAGGAGGGATGCTGGGGGGGGGTTGGCTTGAATCAGCCTTTTTTCACTTAAAAGGGGGCACAGGTGTTTGGGAAGTGTGGGCACAGGGTTGCTGGGAAAGCTGGTGTTGTGGGGAGGGCAGAGGGATGCGCCGGGGCTGGCTGGGTCAGCTTGGGTGGCCGGATGGGGCGGGTGGCATGATGCCATGGTGGTCTCCACCCTGGTGGTCTTGACTGAGGTGGTCTCGACTGAGGTGGTCTCAGCTGAGGTGGTCTCAACCATGGTGACCACTATGGTTGAGACCACCAGGGTGGAGACCAGTGCACCACCATGGTGTCCGCCTTGGTGGTCTCCACCCTGGTGGTTTCAGCCATGGTGGCCATCACGGTCAAGATCACTGCAGTCAAGACCGCCAGAGTGGAAACGACTGCACCATCATGGTCTCCACTGTGGTTGTCTCCACCATGGTGGTCTCAGCCATGGTGGTCTCAACTGTGGTGATCTCCACTATGGTGGTCTCCAACTCGGTGGGCTTGACTGTGGTGGTCTCAATGGTGATGGTCTTGATGTTATGGCATTCTTCTCCCTGGAGAAGCTGTGGGAGGCAGGGCAAAGGTGCCTGGGCTGTGCGATGCTGTTGGGTGTCCCCACGCTTGTGAATTTTGGCCCCCGTGGTGTTTGCAGCCCTAATAGGGTGACGTGCAGCTTCGCTCTCCCCCTGGGCTGGAGGCAGCAGTGCCAGGGGTCCTTTGTTCCCTGTCACACTCCCTGTGGGGACTTTGCCCCTGTGCCAGCAAACTGGTGCCAACCTTCCTGGGAGCCTCCCAGGAGCCACAGAGAGCAGCTGGGATGGGACGTGGATGGGGCTGGGGGCTGCAGGCACAGCCAGGGCTGGGAATGCTTCACCTGGCGTTGAACCAAGTGGTGGAGAGGAATGTGAGGGGGCTGGAGGGGTCCCCACTGCGCTTGCCCTGAGCAAAGGTTTCTGGCACCAGCAGATATAAAAACGGTGGCCCCTTGTGAAGGGGACTGTCCTCGTGGCCTGCCGCTGCCTTTGGCCCTCAGTTTACACTTTCCTGGCCCCATGCCTTGTTTTGCTCCATGAAACCCTAGGGAAAGCATGATGTGTGGTCCTAAAAATACTACTCACAGGGCGCCCTGGCCTTTCTTCTGGGCTGGCGGCCCTCCTGGGGTGCTGCCGAGACCCGCCACAGGGAGCTGCCGTGTCTCCTTGCTGTGCCGTGGCCCAGTGATTCAGTCCCTCTTGTCCCAGTGGGGCTACCACCCTGATGTCCCCACAAAGGAGCTGGCAGCCCATACCCCATACCCGAGCAAGCACTGCGGGTCTCATCCCAGGGACCCTGCTCCAGCCTCGTGGGCATGGGGTCTGATGGAGCTGAGCCGAGCTGGGCATCTCCACTACTGCTCGCTGGTGGGTGTCCCACTGGAGGGGACATCTCCTCTTGCAGAAGACCTGCTCATCCTGTCCCCAGGAGCACCAGGGCTTTGCCACTGCCAGCAGTGGGACTGGTGGGCTGGGTCTCGGGTGAAGGAGACCCCTCACTGCCCTGTCGAGATGGCAGAATTTCCCAAAGTAGGTCAGGTTAATTTTTTAACGCGTGCAGATTTGCCTGTTACCATGGATATTGCTCAATTATACACCAATAATCCCCCATGAGAACTTCATTGTCGCCACTTCCCACCCCCCAAGGATTTTCCTCTGGGCTCAAGGATTTGGGGGAACGACCACTCTCCTGCATCCCCGCCCGGCAGTGTCCTCGGGGGCTGTGGGACCCGAGGGTGTTTTGCAATGGAGGCTCCCCCGGGCTGATGGTCCCCTGGTGATTTTCCAAGAGGCCAGCATCCAGTTTGGCAGCAGAGACCATCCCTGGAACTTGTGGGTGCTTTGGCACTGCAGGACACCCCCCCTGCTGGGATATGGGAGAGAAGTGGGGTCCCGTGGGGTTCCTCTCTCACATATTTGCGGAGCCATTGGGGTGTCTCCCCCTCCATGCTGCCCCCCCCAGTTTGCTCTGCAGGCTCCTTGCACCTTCAACAGTGCAGGAAGTGAGCATGGCAGGAGGCAAGAAAAATATTCTGCGCACGGGTTTTTTTTCTAATGCGGACCTTTTTTTTTTTTTTTGGGTAGAAGTGGGTCACTCGAGGGGTGACAGAGTAAGAGCATCATTGCCTGGGTACTGCATCCCGTTGCCATGGTGACCCAAGGGCTGCATCAGTCAACAGCTTTAAAAATGTGACAGCTGAGTGAGGCTGAAGATTTTAATGAGGACAGACACTTGCTCGCTTAGTTTCGATAACTGAATACTCTATAAATACCCACCAGCTGACTGGTTCCAGGTCTCTGGAGTGTGTTTGCGATGCGTGGCCAGGGCGCTCCCCTTCCCTGGGCAGAGCCCTGCGCTCCAGGGTGGGAGTGTGGGTTGGGGCTGCCTTGGAAATAACGCAGCGGAGATGGATGCAAACCAGACGGCTCTTTTTTTCCCCCCCTCCTGCTAACCCAACCCAGGGGACAAGGTGACACGGTTGCAATCAGAGAGCATGGAGCCAGGAGCAGGTTTGGGTTTCTAAGGTACAGCCCAAGCCGCATGCCCTCTGGCATTGGCCGTCACAGTTGCGGGGTGTGATATGGCCACCCCTGGCCACCGCCACCACCTTGCGCCTGCACTAAAGCAAACCCAGGGAGCAAACACAGCTTGCTAAAGAGGAGATTAACTCTTGCACCAGGGTCTTGCAGGGGTGGGTGGGTGAGCTATAAGCAAGCTCCCAAGCCTCAATAGCAAGCCCAGAGAAGTCACGGGGCTTGGGATAGCAAAGCCCAGTGCTTCTGAGGCAGGGGTGGGAGGCTTTGAAAGGCTCAGCGGTGCCACTTGCATCCATTGGTGCTCTGAGCACCCTGATTTCATGCCAAACACAACGGGTGCGTGCCATGCAATGCCCCTATGCCGGCTCCTGTGAAGGGCTGACAGTGCAGGAGGCAAATCTCCACTTCCACTTTTTTGACCCTGTGCCAGAATCAGTCGATCCCACGCCTTGGGGAAGGAGCTGCCACTTCCGGCAGCCCGTCTGGACCTGCGTGGGAGTGGGATGTTTGCTGGGACAGCTGAGGCCTGCCAAAGGCCCGTCAGTGTTTAAAAGCAAACAGTGAATATAAAGTCTCTTCCACTTGTTTTTGCTGCAGGTCCCCCACTGCCTTTCCTTGTAATGCCACCACTGTGTCCAGCCAGGACCCGGTCACAGTGCGTGTGGCTGAGGAGCCTGCGGGCACCCAAGGGCACACGATGCCCTTGGGGGATGCCAGGGTGTCACAGGCAGAGGGGCTGGTGCAGGGCACAGTGGCGTTGCCGGCAACGGGCGCTTCCCATTTGCTGCCTTCAGTACCACCTGTGTGCAGCGTGAGTCCTGCCCGCTGCCAAAAATATGCTCCAGGCTGTCTTGTGACCGTGGCAGTGTCACTGTGCTGGCCGGGGGAGCTTCAAGACACAGCCCTCTGTCACACGTAGCAACATGGAAAGTATTGACACAGCGTCACTGACTGAGGGATGGGCCATGGTACCACGCCCTGGGCTCAGTCCAGCATCCCAAAATAGCTGGAAGCCTTTCCATCACAGCCAGCGAGCACTGGACCTGACCCCTAAGGAATGGCAAGTGCCAGCCCTGGGTCTGCCCTTCTCTGTTTCGGCTCTGGCAGCCCCCTGATAGGTGCAGCGAGGGGCTGGTGGCGTGAGGAGGGACGTCAGCATGGGGCACGGGGACAGGGTGTGACAACCCACCGTGCAGGCGGCTGTGGCAGCAGGCAGCTCTGCGGCATCAGCCACACACACTGCCTCCTCCCTGCCGGGGGACAGCCACGGGTGTCCTCCACCCCTAGATCTGCCGGTCCTGCTGTAACCAGAGCCACTGTTCTCCTTTCCAGGTGTCTCTTAAAGATGGTCAAGGAGAATATTGTTGTCCCTGAAGAGATCTTGAGCTTCTGTTGCAATGGCCTCCAGGTACCCCCATGCCGTGCAACTAACCTTGGGGCTCCCCATTGTGCCGGTGGCTACTAACCAAGGCTGTGCCAAGCAGATGCCACCCCGTGCAGGGAGCTGCCTCTAGCCCCGCACCGGCTCTGGCTGCATCCACTCCCCACGCGTTTCCCCATCAGCATCCCCAGCCTCTTGCTGGCTACCATGGGGTCAGGGCTGTCCCCATGGGGTGCCGGCTTTTTCCCTAAAATTTAGAAATGGCAAGCGGCAGGAAAATGAATGGCGGGAGCTCCGGCCAGGCTGGCTGCTCGCTTTGCAGCAGGCGGCTTTGGAGCTCTTTGCATTGCTGGCTCGTGCCCCAGAGCCTGCTGGCTTCCCAAAATAGCTCCGTGGTACTCGTGTAGGCACCTCGACATGCTGGGAACCAGCCTGGGAGGTTCACAAAGGGGTTCGGAGCCTGCTGGAGGGTCTCTGGCAGCCGGCGATCTGTCTCGCCATGGGATGGGGGGGCCCTTTGCCGTAGGCTTGGCTTGCCGCATTTGCCGCCGTCTTTGCTAAGCCAAGGTTTGTGCCGTTCCTGGGATGTCGTGTACCAGTAGCTATGGAAACAGAGGTTAGACCCGCTAGAGAAAAATGCTATTCCGAGAGGCGGTGAGCCCAGGGTAGTCGGGAAAGCTTCATTTTCAGCATAAACTCATCTTTAAAAGAAGCTGGGCAAACCAAAGGGCAAAGAAGCTGCTGCAAAGGGGCTCTCACAACAAGTGCTGTAAACAGAAGCCACAGTGGGAGCAGAAAGCGGAAGGAAGGGCTGTAACGAAGTCCAGACAGCTCCTCGTGTCTCCTCAATTACTCACCGGGCTAACCGAGTTCACCCCTTGTGTAACACAGCTTACTTGACATCTAATCAGCTATTTCTTTTGTCGGCACAGTCGCAATACCAGCCTCTCTCTTCCAACCCACCTCCCACCAGGGCAGCAGGCAGGAGTGGCTCTGTGCCCAGCAAACTGCGAAGCCCATAAGGACTGTATTTAACTGCGCAAACAACCCCAAACCGAGGATGCTTTTCCCTCCTCTGCTTGTACCAGCCAGGAAAAACTGCTTTTGGTGTTTCCTTTGGCAAAGGGGGGTGTTGGTGGAAGGCGTGGAGCATCACTGCCTGCCCAGCCCTGGGTGCAAGCCCTGGGAGCGCAAAACCACCCTTTGTTGCAGCATCCTAAAAATGAAGCTGCCGGGGGAGCAAAATTCCTTCCCAGAGAATTGATTGACTTTGGGAGGGGGTTTTGCACAGTTTTCGGGAGGAAGCAGAGGGATTGGGTGATAAATGGCCTGGAAACCTGCAGCGATCACCCACGGAGCTCTTTATAGAGGGATTTTTTTTTTCTCTCGGCTGCAGGCAT